GGTGGTGCAGCCTTGGTGGGAAAAGTAGGTCTTGGGGGTCAGGCATTGAGATTATGTAGTCCCGCCCTACTTCCAATATGACCTCTCTTTGAAGATGCGCGCTCCTAGTCCCCTGTTGCTGCTGCCATACCTGCCACTTGCTGCTATGCCTCCCCAGCATAGTGGGCTCATATCCCTCTGGAATGATAAGTCAAAAGAAACGCTCTCTCCCTTAAGTTGTGTTTGCTCACAGCGTTTGTCTCGATGACAGAAAAGTGACTGATTTGAAGAGGGCGCAGAAGCTCCCTGTGTGACACAGGCAGGCCTCGAAAGTTTCTTGCTCCCTCCTCCGCCTTCTGAGCCCTGGCATGGCAGGCGTGCGTCACCACGGGCAACTACTTTCCTAAACTCCTAGCTGACCTCCCAGTGCTCATCTCGTTGCGTGTAATTTATTTCCTTTTCTTCTGCCAAACCTAAACCGGGGAGACTTTTGATTGTGGAAATGGACGATTTAAACATTTCAGTTGCGTTGTAGATCTTCCGTAACATGACTCAACTTCCCCACCAAACTTCCCCACCTTTCTCCAAGTACGTGAATTAGTTAACCCACTGTTTATCAGGCACAGCCAGGGAACTAAAGATTGTGCCGAGCACGGCAAAACTTATCGGTGCTTTTCTGTTATCAAGTATTTACTGAGTCCTTACTGTGTACCTGGTATTACAAAGTCCTCTTTCAGTTTATCCTTGAATTGAGTCTTGTTCCCATGGACATTTAACGCCATCTGCAAACCTGAGGATTTCCTTTGCACTCACTGAAATTCAAGAGACCTTTATTGATGCATTGATATAATATGCATTACTGAATACATTTCATGTTTTCTTCTGTATGCGTATGTGTACATGTGTGGGTGGGTATGTGCCATGGTTCATGTGTGGAGACCATGGGACAACTTGCAGGAGTCAGTTTTGTCCTTCCGCCACGTGAGTCAGGCTTATTGGCATATGTCTTTACCCACCGAATCACCTTGCTGGCCCCAGGGCACTTATTTTGGTTAAGTTTTGTGCTAGGTGCTGGTGATAAAGGACAAAGTAATAGTGAATTCCTGCCGTGGAGGCATTTATGATCTTAGAAAATGAATATGCTAATGTATCAGGAGAGCTAGGATAGAGATTTGCCCAGGGGATTCAGAGCCCTTAGGAAGAGGAGCCCCTAACTCAGTTTGGTAACTTTTGGGACATTTGGTGACCTTTAATCTGAGCTTTTCCAGCCAAGTAGGAGTTAATTTTGGAAAGAAGGGGCTGTAGGCCCATTCAAGCAGGAGGAACACATGGAAATACATAGGAGATACACATGAAACACTCATGGAACTACAAGGTGGAATATTTTTTTGTTTCAGAATATCTGGAGTAAAATATATCAGGGAAGCAAAGGCCATAATAGTGAAGAAACAGCCTGGAGCCACAGTGCTTCAAAGATGTCCCCATGTTGAGGGGCCAGAATTAAAGTGGGGGCACTGGAAGGATCTGGAGCAAGGGTGTAACCTACACAAGCAGAGTGGAGCTTCAGAAAATGCTGTCTCATAGGAGTGTGGGGGAATGATTGACAGGGATGAAGGCAGAAGGGCAAACTTTTCCAACAGACGGTCAGATAACAAATACCTTAGGCTTTGTGGGCCCCCAAGCCTCTTTCAAAGTTACCCAATCCTGCCCTTGTTACAGAAAAACAGCCATAAACCGTAAGCAAACAAGGGCAACACTTTTTCCACTGCTCCACCATGGAGGGACACGGAAATCTTGATTTCTGCTGCTGTCACATCACAAAATACTCACTTGGGGCTTTTTAAGATTAGTATTTAAAAATGTCAGAACTGTTCTTAGCTTCCAGTCATAAAAGCAGATGACAGGTTTCTTTTGGGTCCCAGGCTGTTATCTGATCTTTGGGGATATGAGCACAGAAAGGATAGAAATGCTTTTGAGATGCTTATCTCTCGAGCAAGAGGAGAAACTGTGGTGCAATCGTTAATGGGGAAGCTTGAAGGAGGATACCTAGACCTATTGACGAGGTGGGGGTGGAGGGTGGGTTAGAGTTGCTTCTGGCAGAAAGGAAGTGAAGGGATGAGCTAGACACACGGAGTAGGTTTCCAAGGGAGGAGGAAACACCTTCTACGGGAATCTGAAAGGGAGGAAGGATGGGAAGACATGGATGTGATAGCTCATCAATTGGAGGGTAGGAGCTTCCCAGAATGCTTTGAGTTTCTCAGTGAAAACAGAAGCAAAGCTGGAATTCTGAGTTGCCTGTCTGATTACTGGAGTCCATCAAAGTGGTGGAATGGCTGAGAGGAAGCTAGAACATCATGCCTATAAACCAGACTCACAAGTACTCTGGATGTGTAGGAGTAACCAGGAAGTGGTTAGATGGCAAAAACAAGGAAAGAGAAGGTGACAGCTTCCCATGAAGGGTGGAGGAGTCAGGGCTCTGAAGAGTAAGGAGGAAGCAGAGTGTCAACTCCCTCAGGCTACATGATACATGGTATGTGTGATGGTGCATGCACTCGAGCACGTGTACACACAAATGTTGCCATGTTGGACAGTAAGGTTGTGAGGAAGTGAAAAACCTCCACTTGAAACTGCTTCAGAGTAAGGAAATGAAGGGATGAAGGGGATAAGGGACCATGAGAACAGTCCCTCGTGGTGGCTGGGCGGACGGGGGGGAGCTGGGAAAGTACCACACAGAACACGCTGACCTGATGCGGACTGGCACTGGCAGGGGTGGTAGTAATGAAGAGAAATAGAGCTGGGAATGAAGGTGGGAACAGTGTGTGTGTGTGTGTGTGTGTGTGTGTGTGTAGAGAGAGAGAG